GCGTGCAGCATACCTGACCACCTGGGTTCTCAGCTCAACCCCTTCTGAGCTCTCGAGTTTTTATAGCTGCGCTTGCCACTCCGCACAGCATGTGTGGCTTGTTCCTTTGGGCACGTAGACTCTTTTGTTGCCTTCATTGTTTTCTTTCTCGTTTCACTTTTTCATTCTGTCCTTCCTCATTACAATGACAAAGGCTCTCGAGTTCTTGTGAATGAACGTTGGGTTAAATAGCCAAAGGAAGGAGTAGAGGGGGCAGCTGTGTAGGATCTGGGGGGGGGGAGGTGCACGGACAGACTTTGCTTTTCTTTTCCTTCTGTGCTCAAGCTGTGGATTCTTTACTGGCCACCCCTCCTTCCAGGATAGCAGCTGCTATGTGTTGTTTGTCTAAAGACTACATGTTCCACAATGCAGTTCACACCAGGCAGCTGGAGTTAGCCTGGTATTCTCTCTGGTTACAATAAAGTCACAGTAAAGCATTTGGGATGAGCTGGGCCCACTTTTAGGTCCAGATTTGTTTCCAGGGCTGGATCCAGAATTCTCCGTGGAGCACTTTTAATTTTCAAAAATTCCAGTGTGGTTTTGAAGATAATTACCTCTCCATAGTGTGAGACAGGAAACTGACATTAAAAGGACTACCTAGGAATCATAGAATCTTTTTTAAAAATTAAATTACATTTTTAATGCACAAAAATCTACCTTCTCTCTCTTCCACTCCACTCCCCGCAAAACAGACTTCTGCAAAGGCTATGTCTAAAAGAGAAAAATTGTACATTCGTGTGTGTGTGTGTGTGTGTGTGTGTGTGTGTGTGAGTGAGTGATAGAAAAAAAGAGAGAGAGAGAGAGAGAGAGAGAAGTGAGTTTCTGCACTCTGAGGATTTCACTTCTCTATCAGGAGGTAGATAGTTTTTCATCATTAATCTTCTGGAGTTATGGTTGGTCATTACACTGAGCAGAGTTCCTAAGTCTTTCACAGTTGTTTGTCTTTATCATATTATCATTGCATAAATTATTCTTCTAGTTCTCTTTACTTCATTCTGCATCAGTTCATGTAAATCTTCCCAGGTTTCTCTGACACCATCCGCTTCATCATTTTATACAGCATAATAGTATTCCATTTCATTTCTGTACCCTAACTTATTCAGCCATTCCCCAACTGATGGACACCCTCTCAGATGCCCATTTTTGCCACCTCAAAAAGAGTTGTAAATAGTTTTTAACAACCTTGATTAGAATTTGCATAGTTAGGACTAATCCCTTCCATAACCTACCCTCCAAGACCTGCTTTACCCTCTTTCTTTTTCCTCCTGTTTTCCTGTTGAGTGAAATGTATTTCTGTATACATTCTGTGTGTATTTTCCCCTTTGACCAGTTTATGAGAGTGAGATTTGTCAGCTATTCTCCCCCCACATTCCTCCTTGTTTGTACAGACTTCTACTTGCACACTTGCAGTATGTAGGATAATTGTCCTTAATCTTTCTTTCTCTTCCCCCCTCATATATTCATCTTCCTCTCTCTTTTCCATTCTTCTTTTAAGGTCTTTTAAGAGCTACTCCCAGGCCTTCTGTCTAGTTAGATCCCCTCTGTGAACCCTAATCATGACAGGGTCAGAGGAGACACATGTATCCTTTCCCCATATTAGAACATAAGTTCACATTCTATCTATTGCAGTAGCCTTGTTTGGTTCCTTATGATTGATTATTCTTATTTACCTTTTAATGTTTCTATTAACTCCTGAAAAACCTCAAAGTTTTTGTTGAGCTCCAGTCTTGCTTCTTTATAGTGGTGGCTGCTAAGTAGTGTGTCAGGCTAAATCTGACTGTGGCTTCTCACTACTTGAATTCTTTCTGGCTGCTTGGAGTACTTTTTCTTTGACATGGAAGCTCTGAATTTTGGCTAAGATGTTCCTGGAAGATTTTATTCTGGAGTTTCTTTGAGGAAGTGATTAGAAGATTTTTTTTCTATTTCTACTTTGCCCTCTTTCAAAGAAATCCGGGCAGCTGTCTTATGATTTCTTGACATTTTGAAGCTCTTTTTTGGGTCATGATTTTCAGGATGTCTAAGTTTCTCTCCTTAATCTGTCTTCAAGGCCAGTAGTTTTTGCTGATACCTTACATTAAGACACCTTACATTTTCTTCTATTTTTTTTTCAGGCTTTTGATTTTGTTTTAATATTACTTATTGTGTACTTGAGTCTTTGGCTTCTATTTGGACCACTCTGCTTAGGCAAAGTTTTGTACCTCCTATGCCAAGTTATTAACTACCTTTCCAATTCTTCCTTCCATAGCTCTCATTTCTCTTCCAGTTTTTTCTTCTAATGTTCTCATTTCATTTAAATAAAATTTTTAACTCATTAATTTTTGTTTCCTCTCTCCCAGGAATTCTAGTTGAATTTGTGCCCTAGCTATGTTTTTCTTTGAGATTTTGCCTGTAGATATTTTTGGAATTCTTCTCTTCTTCAGGGTTCATATCTTGAATGTAATAATAGCTTTTTGCATTGGGATTCTTAATCTGTTTGTCATTTTCCAGCCTACTTCCTAACCTTGTACTTGATGTTAGGGCCAGGCTTTGCATACTTCTGGAGGGAATGTCAGGGTTAATCTTTTGTTGCTTTCTTGGGGAAACGGCTCAAAGGGACAGCTCAGCTTGGGGATCTGCAAACTATCAGCTCCCAAAGTGGTCTGATCCAGGGCAAAGTCTGATCGTTGTCTACGCTTTGTCAATTTCTGATCTGGATTGCTTCCTTTACCCTGCATGAGGTCACAATGCCCTCTTCTGGGGCTGAGATCTCCTTTTGCCTGGGTGCACAGCTTCTCGCTGAGCTAGAGTGCTCTTCCACAGCACACTTCTGGCCAGCCCTTATGCACAGTGTCCACAGACCTCTCTGTTTCTCTAGGCTGACCAGTGGTGGAAAAATCTCTCACTGTGATTTATTTAATCTTGGATTTCTCCAGCAGCATTTAGTCTTATGCACTTTCTAGATTTGTTAAGAGGAGTTGGATTTTTGTTTTTGGTGTGGTGGGTGTGCTACTTCAGGGAAGCTTGTTATACTTCTATTACTTGGCCATCTTGGCTCTGCCCCCTGGTATCAGAAAAAGAAAGAAAGAAAGAAAGAAAAAGAGAGAGAGAGAGAGAGAGAGAGAGAGAGAGAGAGAGAGAGAGCAGAAAGCTTACAGTTTTATTGAACTTCATTATGTGCCAGGAACTGTACTAAATAAACACTTTACAATTAGAATTTGATTTGGTCTGCACAACAATTCCTGGAGGTAGATACTATTATTATCCCCATTTTACAGATGAGAAAACTAAGGCAAACAGAGGTTAACTGACTTGCCCAGAGTCATACAGCTAGTAAGTGTCCCAAGATCAAATTTGAACTCAGGTCTTCTTGACTCCAGGCCTAGCATTCTGCTCACTGTGCCTTCTAGTTGCCCGAAAATCTTAAGAGCTGGAAGAGATATAAGAGAAAAATCCAATCCCCCTCATTTTACAGAGGAGGAAACTGAGGTGCAGAGAAGTAAAGCAACTTGTCTGATGTTAAACTATTAGTTAATGTTAGAGCCAAATCTCTCAATTTTCAGTCCAGTCAGTTCTTGTGCTTTTAACTCTGTGCCTTGGAATTCCTTTTAAACTACAAAAGAGAGATTGGATATCAATCACATGATATGATAGTGGGTTTTTTTTTCCTTGAAGAAAGGACTAGAAACCTAAATGAACGCCTTTTTTTTTTTAAGAGCCCCTAGTCATTGATTTGTTTTTTCTTTACAACAGTAATGTAAGCAGGCAGCACTATGCTACACAAATCATGAAATCAGGGGATTTGGTGATCTGAAATTCCCAGGTCTCTAAGATGGTCCTTTCTTCTTCCATTCTAAACATGCAACTATGGTAGGGCATTTCATGAAAGCATTTTATTGAAGATAATTTGGAACCCATTCGCTGGTAAATTAAATTATTTTTCCCTCTCTCATCAGTTATTCATTTCTATGGAAAATGAATTAAGATACACTAATGTCCTCACAGAATATGCTAAATCAAACATAGTTGTTTAGTCTTCCACCAGCTGAACTGTGCCCAGTGGGATAAGAAATAGATAGGTGGCGTAGAAGTCCACATTATGCTTGGCTTGTGAATGCTGTTTGCTCTTCTGGCTAATGTAGATGCAGGATGCTTCAGCAGGTGCAGGGTACTCGGTGCCATCAAACTCAAACTGTCGGTGCCAAATGTTTTGCTGTTTAGAGATTCTTCACTCAGAAGAAGAGAGAATGAGTGGGTCAGATCCTTCCAAGGGAGCACATTATTCCCCAGGCCACTTCTGGTGTTTCAATAAATGCCACATCAACGAAGGTTGCTTAAGCGCGCATACAGCTAGATCAACAGTTGGGGATGAGAGGTGGTGAGCAAAAATCTGGGGTGGTAAGTAGGCTCCTTAGAAAAGGTTGGAGGGGCAGCTAGGTGGTGCAGTGGATAGAGTACCGGCCCTGAAGTCAGGAGGACCTGAGTTCAAATCTGGCCTCAGACCAAACACTTGACACTTACTAGCTGTGTGACCCTGGGCAAGTCACTTAATCCCAACTGCCTAAAACCAAAAAACAAAAAAAAAAGAGAAGGTTGGAAAAAAAAGAAGTTGAGGATGGTGGCATCTCATTTCTTCTTTAGGGTTTCCATGGCCACCCCATCCTAAATGGCCCCTCTCTGTGAATCATAGGACTTTACAGTTATTTGTAAGTTTGTGTCCATTAGGAAACCAAGTAATCTATTAGAATTTTAACATCCAAATTGTTTATCAGATCTCTTGTCCAGTGGACTGTTCTTGCAGCTATTGAAGTGACTGTTTGACACTCAGTTCCTCGTTACTTCATCCAGCACCATTGAACCAATTGACCGTTAAGACTCACTCCTTTTAACCTCCAAAGCCTTGGCTGGCGTGTTCCCTGCATCACTAAATGTTGGGGCTTTTTCCTCATGTCACACATTTTTTTTTCTCCTGCAAATATATTCAGGGTGAAGAAGCTGAAGGAGACCTTTGCTTTTATACAGCAGTTAGACAAAAATATGAGCAACCTTCGAAGCTGGTTGGCTCGAATTGAGTCCGAGCTTTCTAAACCTGTCGTTTATGACATCTGTGATGATCAAGAAATCCAGAAGAGACTTGCCGAACAGCAGGTGGGAAAACTGAAAATTAATGTTTTAGAATGTAGTTCATTCTAACTTTTAAAAAATTTGTTTCAAATTATTTATTTCTTTACAACTTTCAGAATGTTCATATATCATATGCTGGTTTCTTTTCAGAGAAAACTTAGTACTGTGCTCATAAATGTATAAAGCACTCCATTTACTGGGGGTACAAGTTTCTCTCATCCACAGTCTTTTCTGTTGAAACGCAGAACTGCATTCTGTAAAATACAGAACTTGATTTTTGGAATAGGTGAGAGAATTTAGGGACATGATCAATGTGGAAGCCTTTGAATCAAAGGAGTCTCTTTTTTTCTTCTAACAAAGCTTCCTTTGGCCTTTAGACACATTCTCAGGTGTGTTTATTAATTGACTGTGATAGAAATGGCTGGAAACAGGTTTAGACCATTAGCCATTAAGGACTGTTAGTTGTTATACATTTCTTTAAGCCAATGTTACATATAGCTTGAAAAACCCTTCTGGTCTGTTGTGCTCCTGACTGACTCTCTTCACAAATGTACATCCCCCATCCCCCATCTCACATCCAAATAGTGCCCGAGATCATTCCTATGGGATTATAGATTTAGAACTAAAAGGGAACTTGGAGGTGATCTCGTTCTTGTAAAGAAAGCAAAACTGACGCCAAGTGAAGTTAAATGATTTACCCAAGGTTAAACAGGTAGCAAATGAGAGAGCTGACATTTGAACCCAGATCCTCAGACTCCTTAAGCCAGTGTGCTTTCTACTCATTCCATCTCCCCTCTTCTCTAGAGAGGTAAGATATTTAAAAAAAAAAATCTAAATGATTTTCTTCCTATTTTCCTAGCCCAATGGATTGATCTGGCATGGCAAAAAGGGTGGATGCTCATGGATGAGCATTGATGCTCACCACTGTATTAAATCCTCACCAAATTTCACCTTCACAAAAGTATTAGTGGCTTCCTCTCACAGGTCAAATGGTCAATATATGAGAAGTACTGTGCTTAGATTTCCAAAGTATGCAATGACAGAGGTGAGATCCCAAATGGATCAGGTCTTTATGTATCAAATTTTGGCAGAAAGTGAGGCATCCATGGGTAATATTCACAAATTTTACTTGAATGTATACAAGTTATATAATTGATTATTTTTAATTTGCACATACCCTGATAATGATAAGAGGCATTATAGCACAATGAAAAGTATACTGAGTTTGAAGTCAAGAGAATCTGAGTTCAGATCAAAGCTCAGTAACTTACTACCTATGTGACCAAGGCAAGGTTTTCTGGGCCTTAGTTTCTCAACTATAAAACAAAGAAAGAGGTTGGAATAGATGGCCTTTCTAGTGCCTTCTAATCTAAACCTATGTTCTAGTGCGGGTCATTTATTAACACTTGAGAATTGTTTTGCTTTCTCCATTGATTCTTATGTAAATAGATTTGAACAAGTGGTTTTTTTTAATTTGACTGTAAAATGATGGTTATAAATAATTTACCAAATGTCCTAATACAAAGTCAAATACACATTATAAAATCCTTTTTTAATTTTAATGTTCTTCTCAGGTTTGATTAGATACCTTTCAGGTGACTATTTCTCCTTAATGTAATTGTCTGCAGCATTACAACTAGTTTGATCACTTAAAGCGAAATATTCTGAGAGTATATTAACCTTGCTAGTAGCCATTAAACCCAGAGTGAATAACTAATTGCATTAGGTGTTTAATTTTTACTATCTCTCCGACTCCTAAAAGGAAGACAGACTGGCTGTTGGTTGAGGGCTTGTCATTTTTCCCTAACTTTTACGAGATAAAATCTGATTAAGATGTAATCTTTGGGAGACATCATTTGAATCAACTATTGTCCTATTGACCTCTTTGTTCTTGAAATGAAATAGTTGTTGTTCAGTTGTGTCCAACTCTTTGTGACCCGATTTGGGGTGTTCTTGGCAAAGACTCTGGAGTTGTTTGCCATTTCCTTCTCCAGCTCATTTTATAGATAAGGAAACTGAGGCAAACAGGGTTAAGTGACTTGCCCAGGGTCACGCAGCTAGGAAGTGTCTGCAGCTGGATTTAAACTCAGGAAGATGAGTCTTCCTGACTGCAGGCAAGTGTCAAATAGTGCCCCAAAAGAATATAAAATCTGAAGGTGGTTAAGCTATAGTCCTATTTTGAGACCGGATGATCACAGATTTAGAAATGGAAGGGACTTTATGGGTCTTCTAATCCAGCACCCTAATTTTTCTGGTGAGGAGATGAAAGGCAAAGAGAGGTTAAGTGATTTGGGTCACACAGGAAAGAAGCATCAGAGATTTGAACCCTACTGTTCCTTAGCACTATCTACTATGCCTCACTGAGGTCTCCTACATCTGTTACCAAGACTTAGAGAATTGGTTTCCAGTGCTACTAGTCACATAACAAGTTAGAACTTTCTCGAGTTAGAACTTTAAAAAGGCTACAGCAGTTTATTGTGTGTTCATGCCAAGCCACTACCCAAAGACATGACCTTGTCCTTGGTACTGAAAACCAAAAATATAGATCACCAAGGAATTATTTGTGATCATATTAATTTATGTTACAGCTATCCTTCTAAAACATTTTTCCTGATTGCATAGTAGAAAATACAACATTGTTGCTTTAAAAAAAATATGTCGTACAAGCCCCTGTTTACCAAAGAGATGACTTCTACTCTAGATTTTGGTCCCTGGTACCTTTCAATCTATATGATTCAGAACCTTTGCTCCCGATGGGCCTGCCTCTAAGCCTATTCCAAACAACCACTGTAGAGAAGATAATGACTTTATAAAGTATTAGTATTATTATTATTATTATCTTATTATAATATTATATTATTAAACTATTATATTATTAAAAACATCACACTATTTAAAAATAAATAAATATGATACATATTTAAGTGTTTAAAAATAAATAAAATAAGTAAAATAAAAATTTTAAATTATATTATGTAAATTAATATATTAATATAATGTATTATTTATGTATGATATAATATTATATTGTAATAAGAATCCTTTTGATACTTCAGTAACTAAACCTTTTTAGGTGGGGGTAGGATCTCAGTAGATCTACTTTAAATTAATTTTCTTTCATTAATGAATAGTGTTATGGTGAGGTTCTAACCTAATGTCTTGCCTTCCTAAGGAAATGGCTTAGTTAAAAGGTCATTTCCAGTTTTATGATCTAAGATATGAAATGCTTTGGGTGATTCACATTTGTATCTTGTTTCCTACTCTCTTTTTCCTAGCTCCCTTTTCTCTTTTATTTCCTTCCCCTTTTATTCTTCCTGGCTAGCTTATTTTCTCTATTTTCCCATCAGCCCCTGAACAGACCTCTCACTCTGGCCAATCTCCTCCCCTTCTCTGCTTACCGTGCAATTGGCTATAATAAGTACGCTGTCACACATAACTAGATCAGAAAAACAGAATGGACAAGATACCATTTCAGGAATCATGTACGGAGGGTGTTTTTAGTAACTCACAGTGAGACTTCTAAATCTATCTCTGCTCTTGGTTCCAAGTTGTAGTTCTGAAGCAGATTTTTGCATAAAATTGAGGGAGTTAAGGTTGGCAGCATGTGATGATACTGACAATATCGAGTTTGTTTTGGTGAGCCAAGGAAAACTTAGAGCTTAGATTTTTACGGTAATGCCGTCAAATTGATTTTTACATGTTTCAAGGTAAATATTCTATAGTACAATGTCCAACAAGACCTTTTGTCTTTATGATAAAAGCAAAATTCTTGGGGGCAGCTAGGTGGCTCAGTGGATAGAGCACCGGCCCTGGAGTCAGGAGGACCTGAGTTCAAATCTGGCTCAGACACACAACACTTACCAGCTGTGTAACTCTGGGCAAGTCACTTAATCCCATTGGCCTAGCCAAAAAACAATAAAAAATAAAAAGAAATGATTAGCTTTCTTTAAAAATAGAAAAGGAAAAATGTATTTTTAAAATGTCTGAATTCTATTTTGGGAAGATTTAGGGTTTGTTTTTTTTTACACTCAGATTTTTAAAAAAAATTTTCAGTGTTCTCTGTTCTTTGCCATATACTATGTATTTCAATTTTCTTTTCTTTTCTTTTTTTTTTGGTTGGACAGTGGGGTGAAGTGACTTGCCCAGGGTCACACAGCTAGTAAGTGTTGTGTGTCTGAGGCCAGATTTGAACTCAGGTCCTCCTGAATCCAGGGCTGGTGCTCTATCCACTGCACCACCTAGCTGCCCCTTCAATGTTCCTTTTTCTGTTGGTTTATCCGATACAATTTATGGCGACTGCAGAAAGACTCTTCAAAGTTAACTCTTAGGTATATGAATACACAAATTAATGTCTCTGAAATGAGCTTGCCACAAGACTTTCTACCCTTGCTGAGTAAATTAACCCTATGCCAGGCTTTCAAGAAAAACTGCTGATATGACTCATTAAAAATAGACTTAAAAAATCTTATTTTAACATATCTTGATGAAATAAAGTACTTTGTATCATGAAATGAGCAAGTTTAAAAAGAGCTAGTAATTCTGTGACATGGCAAAGACTTTGTGAAATTAGAATAATTTTTTTTAATCTATTCTAACCTACAAGGTTAGAATGTTTTCTTTAACAGCTGCTGGGAAATATCAGCCTGTGTAATTTGTCAGATTATTTATCAAAAGGAATAAATTGACTAAATTATTGTATCAGTACTTGGATTCTATTCTGTACTGGTTTTCCTGGTTTGCTTTTGGGGAGTGGGTAGGGGAAAGGTCAGGTTGAGTGTACTTGTCAAGATCTATGTTTTAAGTCACAAATGATTTTTTCTAAATAGACCTTATTAATTTGATCATTTCACCTTCCACAATACTCAGTTTGATACACAAGCAGCTAGCTTATATTAGCAAACAGACTGACAAAGCAAAGCAGCCTCTTCCTCACCACCACTTCATCCAACATTGTTAAGTCTCGTTGACTCTGTCCTCTCATCTCTCACATCCATTCTCCACATGTGGCTACCATCCTAGTTCAGGCCCCATATACCTCTCAGGTGGATTGTTGAAATAGCCTCCTAATTGCTCTCTGTCTGTCCTTGCTCCAGTTCATCCTTTCTACAATTGACGACATAATTTTCCATTGTTCTGATTGTTGTGATTGGTCTGATAATGAACAATTGAAAGAGCACTGAATTTGGAGACAGAGTCCTGGGTTCAAATTCTGGCTCTGCCAGTTACTACCTGTATGACCTTGAACAAATCACTTAACTTCTCTGGGACCTCAGTTTTATCAGCTGTAAAAAGATGGGGGTGGATTAGGTGACTTGTTCAGTCCACTTGTTTCAGTAATGAGACCCTATTTGGGGTTTTGTTGTCAAAGATCCTGGAATGGTTTGCCATTTCCTTTCCCAGCTCGTTTTACAGGTGAAGATACTGAGGCAAACAGGGTTAAGGGACTTGCCCAGGGTCACCCAGCCAGTCAGTGTCTGAGGCCAGATTTGAAAGTAGTTCTTCCTGACTCCAAGCCTGGTGTTGTATCCACTGTGCCACCGAGCTGCCTCAGATAACTTATATGGCCCCTTTAAATCTATGATCCTACTCCCACTCCCCTGATCAAAACTTTCACCAGTTTCCCACTGCTGGGCTAAGCTTGTATTTTTATTGTACAGGCAGACTTTTAAGGTCCTCTAAATTTTGCCTCTGACTTAACTTCCCCAGCCTTACTCCTTGGAATGCCTTCTACCTTTAAACCAGGTTGAATCATTAGCAGTTCCCTGAACTCACCCCTTCATTCCTCATCTCTGGCTTTTTGATTTAAGATTTGCATCTGATTTAAGGGTTATCTTAGCAACTACCTTGTCCTTGATGAATCTTTCCCTAACACATTCTACTCCAATACAAGCTGTAATAATAGCTCTTGCCCTGCTCAAATGTTCCAGAGCATTTGTCTGATTTCTCCTTTGTCCCTTTTATTGACTACTCTCGTTTATGTTTATATGTGTTCATGTTCTCTTCTCTCCCTCTATCCTCTGTCCCTGTAGATATAATGTAAGCTCCTGGAGAGTACAGACTGTTTTCATTTTCACCTCTGTATCTCTTAAAGCCTTGATTTTTTTTTTTCCAAACCAGACAAAGTGATCTCCTTGGTGTAGGGAGTTCCCAGTAGGAGCTTAACCTTAACCAGTAATTTAAAGGAATAAGATCTCCCTTCACCAATGGGAATTAGCACATGCTCGCAATTTTGAGTCTCTGAGAACTGGTTACCTGTGGCACTGAGAGGTTAAATGATTGGCCTGTGGTCACACATCCTAAATGTGTCATAGGCAAGTCTTGAACTCCAGTCATTTTGACTCTGCCATCCCTGATTCCACTCAAATCCCTGAGACAACACTGAACATACTGACAAGCTTAGAGACAAGGAGCCAGAGTTTCCATGGTCCAGGAGAGCTGTATGTCATTCTCTAAGAGGTGCACACATTTCTCCCTTTACCTCTCATCACCACTATCAATGAAATAATAGCGGATGGCCGAAAAGAAAATATACCAGTAGATTATGTACCCACGTGGGGAGAGTGTGGGTAGGAATGTGTTTTGTTGTAAATCACTAAATGTTTTTTTTTCTTTCACATTGACAGGATCTGCAACGAGATATTGAACAGCACAGTGCAGGGGTAGAGTCTGTATTTAATATATGTGATGTCCTTTTACATGACTCTGATGCCTGTGCCAATGAGACAGAGTGTGATTCAATACAACAGACAACTAGAAGCCTAGACAGACGGTGGCGAAATATTTGTGCCATGTCAATGGAGCGGCGAATGAAGTAAGAACTTTGAAAATGTGCCTTGGTTGTTTCATGTCTAATGAGCCAGATGCTCTTCCAGAGGACTCCTTGCTACCCTTGGGACCCTCATACTTTACTCCTAGTGTGTGAATTACTGCTGAGAAAACAGAAACCAATGTATACACAAAATATTTATTAAGAAATTGATTCAAGAAGAAAAAACTCTTTAGTCTTTTTAAAAAAGAATATCCATGAACCTAGATTTCATTCCTTTATACAGTGTAATGGAAAGAACACTACAAGGGGCAACTAGGTGGCTCAGTGGATACAGCAGTGGGCCCTAGAGTCAGGAGGACTGAGTTTAAATCCAACCTCCGACACTTACCACCTGTGTGACCCTGGACAAGTCATTTAATCCTGATCGCTTCCAAGATAGAATGAACACTGGAAGCTTAGAGTTTTCACTGCAGCTCCAACTGGGACCCTATGCAAATCTTTAATCTCTGTTCCTTATTTACATCTATGAAGATTACAGGTAGTATAAGGGAAGTGGTCAGAGCTCTTCAAAGGAAAGAATACAAGCTTTTTGAGGGCTGTGGCTATTTCATTTTGTCTTTGTATGCCTAATACAGCGTCTGATACCCAGTAGATGATCTAGAAGGATCAGGCACTTCAATTGACACAAAAAAGATTTTACTTTGAAACAAACATTTTTGTCCTCTCTATATTTTCTTTGCCTTATGAATAAAAATATGCACTGAGTTAATTGATTCATTTTAGTCATTCACAGTTAAATTCCGGTCCTTCTGATGTTAATAAATTGCTTGTTTGCTTTATTGATTGAAAGGCATGTTAAGTTTGGGATACTGCTTTTCTGAGTAGCAAACTTTTGTGACATGTATGTTGTCCCCAAAAATAAAGGGGAGGTCCGTGGGAGATGGGAACAGACCGAAGCTAAGAGAAAAGAAAAGGGTATTCAAACACAAGGCAGTGAAAGGACCTATTTTGTTGTTATTTATTTTTCAAGTTCTTTTGCTGCCCTTCATTTTTCTATTCCGCCTTTCCCCTTAAACCTCCTCTCTCCCACCTGACACATTGAGACCTTCCTCATAACAAAGGAAAACCAACCAACACAACAAAGATCTAGCAGGTAACCTCATCCCACCCACCTTTCAATCTAGAGGAGGGAAGCGTGTTTCATTGTCAATTCTCCAGGACTGAGATCGAACAACTGATTTTAGAGAACTGCTTTATTTCCACCAGGATTGAAGAAACATGGAGACTCTGGCAGAAGTTTCTGGATGATTATTCCCGCTTTGAAGACTGGCTGAAGTCAGCAGAGAAAACAGCAGCCTATCCAAATTCATCAGAGGTGTTATACACAAATGCTAAGGAAGAGCTGAAGAAGTTTGAGGTGGAAACCTTCTCTTTTTCAAAAAAGAAATTTTTTTCCTTTAAATTTTCAGATCCACATTCTCTCTTCATCCTCCCATCCCCAATTAAGAAAGCAAGAAAAACAAAACCCCTGTTACAACATGTATAACCAGTCAAAACAAATTCCCACATCGGCCATGTCCAAAATTGTGTGTATGGGTGCGTCTTTCTTTACCGTTTTGTTATTATTGTACAAATTGTTCTCTTAGTTCTGCTCACTTCACTCTGTAGCAGATAATACAAGTCTTCCTGTCTTTCTCTGAAACCATCTTTTATAGCACAATAGTATTCTACTGCATTTATATACCATAACTTACTCATCCAGTCCCCATTTGATTGGCACCACCCCTCACCCCTTCAGTTAGAGGGAAACTTTTCTGACCCAGTACTTAGTAGTTATGTAGTGATCAAACCTGAACAGGGTTCTCATTTCAGCTAACGGGACTTTTTCTAAGTTTCCCATAATTTCTGTCATATATATATATGTGTGTGTGTGTGTGTGTGTGTGTGTGTATCTATATATCTATACATAGATATATAGATACACACACATATATATATATATATGTGATCTGTGGTTCTGGATGTTAATATGGGTTGTGACTGGGAAGCTAGCTTCTAAAGCATGGCATGTGAAAGAGGGCAGTCTCAGGATGAGCAAATCTGTGGCTGAAATAAATACACAAAGTATCAGGAGCTTTGAAAGAATACATTTATTGGAAAGGACCACAGGAAACATTTGCCACTAAAATACTCTTCTCTGCTCCTAATAGATATTGCAGGTTTATTGTTCCAGATGCCCAGCTGGTTTTATATAAAACTGTATTTCAGAGGCATTAATAACATGCCTCTTGTTTAGATTTTTCTAATTGTGGGGGAAAAAATCATCCAAAAGTGTCCATTTTTCATGCTAGATGGGGAAAGTACTTTGAGGCAACTCTGACCAATATCCTATGTGTGATACAGGCTTTTCAGTGGCAGATTCACGAGAGACTCACTCAGTTGGAGCTTATCAATAAGCAGTATAGGCGACTTGCTCGAGAGAACCGCACAGATACCGCCAGCAAACTGAAGCAGATGGTTCATGAAGGCAATCAGCGTTGGGACAACCTCCAAAGACGAGTCACAGCTATTCTACGGAGACTCAAGGTAACCTTGAAATCAGTTCAGCTGTATGCAGACTTGTGTCTTTTCATGGTGCAAACCACAGGAGAAAAGACAGATTTATGGTCTGTCGGACAACAAACAGAAATCAGGAATTCCAAGCATGGGTTTAAGTTCTCTTAAAATGACCTCTAAAAATTTTGAAACTCAAAATTTAAAAAAAAAGTTTAGCATTTTTCTTTACATGTAATTAAGGGGAAAAAATGTATTTATATTTTTTAAAAATGATTTGCACATTTCCTATTTTTTATTGTTATACACAAGCTGCAATCATTCCTTGTTTTTCCTATATATAGTAGGATATGATAATTAACACCCTACAATTTTTCTTTACATGTAATTAAGGGGAAAAAATAAAAATTACTGAGTTTAAAACTTCAGGTAGATTAGGTCTGTCCTTGCTATTTGATGGGACATTTTTAATATTTACATTCTTCCTCTTTCCCTCTCAGAAGGTATATTCGAAATTAGAATAGTGAAAATACCCAGTGAACCATACACAGAGCAGGTGTATAGCAGCAATACCAGGGCTGGAAGGGACCTTAGAGACCTTAGGCAAATCACTCCTTGTCAGTCAAATGAGAAGCTTGATTTAGATTTAGATAAAGTCTTTTCCTGTTCTAAATTCGAATGGTATCTTGTTCAGCCCTGTCTTTTTACAATGAGAAATCTGAGGCCCAGAGAAGGAGAGATGATAAAATCATCCATTTAGTGCTGCAGGGGAACTCAGGGGTCATTAAAACCAGCCCCCTCATTTTTCAGTGGAGGAAACTTGCCCCAGGATTAAAGCCCAGCTCCCTGACTTCCCCCAGAGAATGGTCTTTCTTATAATGCCTTTCTACAGTCATCCTCTAGAGGCAGAATTAGAATATAGGTCAAACATACTGTGGATCCTAGCTGAGCAGTTAAAACATACGCTTTTGTTCTTATGTGGTGTAGCACTTTACCAATCAAAGGGAAGAATTTGAAGGGACCCGGGAGAGCATTCTGGTGTGGCTCACCGAAATGGACCTGCAGCTGACAAACGTGGAGCATTTCTCTGAGAGCGATATGGATGACAAAATGCGCCAGCTACATGTAAGGATTGTTTGTGAGCATGTCCCAGAAGCAGACCAGGGCTCCCCTGGGCCAATTAGCACATCAGGAAGTGAGCTCAGATAAAATTGTAAAAATCCAGGCTGCTCCCAAAGCTTCTGGGTCACCTTCATCAGAAAGGTGTTTTCTGCTGTCTGGGAATGGATTGTGGTATGGTAGTTGTTAGGGGGTTTTGGTTTTGTTTTGTTTTGTTTTTGTTTTTCCTCAGTCACACAGAATCCCACCATCCGTGGAGTTTTCTTGGCAAAGCTACTGAAGTGTGGTTTGCCATTTCCTTCTCCAGTGGGTTAAGGTTAAGTGACTTGCCCAAGGTCACACAGCTAGTAAAGTATCTGATTTGAATCTGTCTTCCTGGCTCCAGGCCCACTGTTTCATCCACTGAGCCATCTACCTAACTCTTTATTAGGTATTAGAAAAGGCCAAGAAGTGAAATTTACCACACACCAAGTAATAACCCTTACACATGTGAACCACTGAAATGACAGGGTCAAAATTAAAGGCCCACTAGCAAAATAATATGGGAGAATTGCTTCTACTATTGTGTGATTGAGATATATCGTTCTTTCCTTCACATAGTGTCTAGTAAAGCATGACAAGTTTTCAAAAAGATTTTACGTGGAAAAATTCCTAAGTGAGGAAAAAAATGATTTGCTTTTTTAAAAGTAAAGAGGGGGAAGTATTTTACTTTAAATCTTAAAAAATTAATTTTTTTACAAGCATCTCTCCATTCCATCTCCCTCCCTCAATTAAATAATTAAAAAAGAAAAGATAACCCCTCATAACAAATATACATGGTTCAGTGAAACAAATTCCCACAACAGGCTGTGTTCAAAAATGTATGTCTCAATCTGCTTTTTGCATCCATTATCCCTTGGGAAGAAGGTCGACCATGTCCTTCATCTTTAGTCCTCTGGAATCATGGTTTGTCATTGATGAAGGGGCATATTTTAGCAGCAAATGGCAAGCTTTTTGACCGTAGACCTTGTTGATAAATTTAATAGACTGATAACAAGTAGGTTAAAGAAAAGGTTTTGATTCTTTCTGCAGAGAGGAAAGTCCAGCCTAGGCCTCCACTGGAAAATATTTTAAGCAGTCCTTTCTCATATTCTACACAGGGTTTCCAACAGGAAATTACATTAAATACCAACAAGATTGACCAGTTAATTGTATTTGGAGAGCAGCTGATTCAAAAGAGTGAGCCAATGGATGCGGTATTGATTGAAGACGAGTTAGAAGAGCTTCACCGGTACTGCCAAGAAGTGTTTGGTCGAGTGGCCCGATTTCACCGGCGGCTGACCTCTCACCATCCAGTAAGAGAAATGCATTTGCTGTAAACTTTCTACCAACAGACGTGAGATTGATTGAGAATTGCTTGGTTTTGTTTTCATGAATTGGAAATAGATATCTAAATATTAGTCTGTTTAGGAGTCCACACATATGAATTATTTTGTGTTTAACAGGTTATGGTGAGAGATTCTGGTTTCTATTTTATTATTGTTCTGTAGGGCATGGCCCTTCCCTACCATACCCTCCATGCCACTCCAGTTCTAAACTTATTTTCTGATGGGCAAATAATGAGAAAGTGGCAGTTGTGAAGTATGTTTGTGGAAAACACTAGGCTTTTGTTCAATTCCATTAGGATTTTATTGTATCTTTCATCTGGGAGTTATTTAATGATTGTTGAATTTGGTCATTGAAACAAAATCACTCTATCCCTTGGTTGTACTGTGTTCCTGAATACAACCTTCTCTGGGCAAGTGTAAACAAACACGCTCAGCATCAGTTCATGATGATTTTTAGAAGATCTTTTACTATCAGTAAATATTTGTCATTTACTTTCTCTTAATTGCTAGATCATTTACTTTTAGAATTTCCTGACGCTTTGCTCTCTTTTGTAATTGATTGCTTTTGGTCAAGAACATCAATTTGCAAAAGCAGCTTCAATCCCTTCTCAGGCAGTTGTTCAAAAAAAAAATGCCTTTTGTTTTTCCTCTTTGCAAGTGGCACTTGAGTACAAGTCATTGCTTAGAAGCGCCTACCTAACCTTGGTGTGCTGAGAACATCATTTATTTAATGACGGCCACTTAAAAGCACAAGCGACCCTTTCTTTCATCTCATTCTACAGACAGTTACTTCCCCCTTCCCACCAAAATTACCTCACAATTCTATCTATTGTAAAAATCGAGCATCTTCCGTCATTTCCTTCCTATGACTCAAACGAGACATAATGTAACCAAGAGAATTAAGAGGGAATGAATTTGCAGGTCAAGTAATAAAACACGGCAATGACAATTCCCTGGTTACAATTACACTTGAGTGATGACATTCTACGGCAGGAAATCCTCCCCTCAGCCCCACCCTATGCCCAAAAGTTGAAATCATCTTCCCATATTCTTCTTCAGCTTAATTTGTTTCATTTTTTAAAACTGTCTTTTCTTCAGGGATTGGAAGATGAAAAAGAAGCCTCTGAAAATGAAACAGATGTGGAAGATTCAAGAGAAATACAAAGTGACTCTTGGCATAAAAAGGAGGTGAATGAGGGACCATCATCCCCTCAGTCCCTTTGTCACCTTATGCCTCCCCCACTGGGTCATGAGCGGTCAGGCTGTGAGACCCCCGTCAGTGTGGACTCTATTCCACTTGAATGGGATCACACAGGTGATGTGGGGGGCTCTTCCTCTCATGAAGATGATGAAGAAGGACCATACTACAGTGCTGTGTCAGGTAAAGGCCATAAATCTTGAGAGAAGGTTTCCCCCAAGGCTCCTGGTACCAATAGGTTTGCTTGGGTTTTTTCTTTTTAAATAGCCAACTGGCATTGCCAACTCTTCAATTATCTGGGCACTGATTTTCTAATAATGCATTACCTAGCCTTTTTACCATTTCACCCCAGCCCATCTGCTCCTCTACATTGTGACCATTTCCTTGATTTTTTTGACCTACTACTTTAGAGAGTAGAAAGGGGGAAAGAATTAAAAAGTAAAAATTCAAGTCTGTCCATTACAGAAAGCCACTTACTCAATTGCTCTGGGTCGAAAAGAAATTGAAGTTCTTAGCTGAAATAAGGGGTTTTGATTTGCTCTCAATGTCATCTGCCCCAACCCAGCCCTCCCACTGCCATGGATCATCAAGAGCTGGCTGTAACACTGCTTTTAAAAAAAATCCTTTTATTAGAAGTACAAAAATTGATGGTTTTCACCTCTCAGCTAACAACAGTTCTACTCTTTTAAATAATCAGCCTGAGTATTTTCTCCAGTGAGGAAAATGACATTATTCTTTTTCAGATGTAGAAATCACTGAAAATCCTGAGGCATATCTTAAAATGACCACAAAAACTTTGAAAGCATCTTCTGGTAGGCCTCTGCCAATGCATGTGTCTCAACATGGCAACGTTCCTGTGGCGCACGCTCTGTTCCTAAACTTCTGTCACGTGTCATGTCTGACTTCTTGCCTTTTGGTTTACATCATGTCTTTGGGTCATGGTGTATTTATGCTGCGGTACTACTCACATCTACTCACATGAACATTAGAAAATCTTATCGTAAAAACCAGTTAAGTTCAGTGCCATGCATATTTCACTCCATGGGCCTGTGCAGATCAGACTTCAACTTTAGGGGCAGGTGGAAGGGGTTTCCTTCACGCTTTATCCTCATGATCTGAAGTCTTTAAGCATGGACCAAGCTTTTTTTTTTCCCCATGGTGGTTTGGTTTAAAGCTATTTTCTTGCTAATGGTGATCTCCTGGGAAGAAGAGCTGGAATTGGGTAGAAGGTGCTAAAATTGACTTAAACATAAGCAACATTACTTTTCTTTGGCAGTGAAAGGTGGGATTTTCCCCTCTAGTCTGCAGTATGTACCAGAGCCATGGGCAGACCCTCTGGTATCTCCAGCCAGAGTTTAACATTCATTACTCTGACCCCTGAAAGACCACACACACATCATCACGTTAGTTCAACTGTCATTGCAGGCTAATATGACTGGAGACCCCAGCTTCTAAAACTACCAGCCTCAGCAGCAAACTTTGTGTGCCGTCCCATCCTGACAACATTCCATGAAAACAATGTGCCACAGCTGCATGACTCATCTCATTCCCATGTGGGACCCTACTCACCTTTTGCAAACATGCATGCTTTGCAAGGAAAGCTGCAGAACTCATTTTTATGCCATAACCTGATGCCATGTTACTCATAATGCTTTTTTTTTTTGGTGCAATTATATAACATCACATCTGCAGTGACTATAGAAGGGACTATATATCATTCCTGTTTGTTTCAGGTAAATCCATTTCTGAGGCTCATGGATGGCATACCCCTGACAGCCCTACTCATCAAACGCATCGCTACAAACAAACTGAAGTTGATAGGAGTGTACTGCCAATCGCTCCTGAAATGAGCACCCCATACAATTCAGAATATGTAAGTCTCCTGCTTGCTTCTATAGTATGGATAGCAATAAAAATGATGATGGTTGTTTCCAATAACATTAGGAATGATGCGTTGCATTCTGAATACTGACATGCAGAGCCTGTGTCCAGGGTGGGTTTTCCATGGGTGGTTTCTGCTGTGTGTCCCATTGCCCACATCATGCCTGGTCACCTTTACAGCCAGAAGAAAAAATCTTCTAGGTTAGGAGTACGATTTCTGGCCAAAAGACAGTTATTCTAACCAGTCTATTTATGACTCAACCCTGTGATGTTGGCCTCTTTAGCATCGTCTTGATCAAATAAAGATCTACTTGGCCCAGAAAACATTAATAACTAAATACAGCTAACGTAACTCCATTACCCAGGTCACTGGAAGGAGCTGAGATAGGGAAAATCCACAACAACATATGATTCCAAGAAACCTTAAGAGAGTTTGTGGCACCATAGTAGATCTACTTTACTAATTATATCATTCTTAGGCTAATTGTAAATTGAATCTATGTGCTCTGAGCAAGCAATAGGGCACAGGAGGAGGTAGCTCAGGAGAGTTCTGAGTGATTGTTGGGGAATCCAGCCCAAGATCCCAAATGGTCACCTTGCAAAGACCCAAGACCAGAGCTCAAATCCACATGCCTATGCCCTCACTTATCAGCTTCGCGAACTTAAGCAAATAATCTAATTTCTCCAAGCCTCAATTTCCCCATCTGTAAATGGGAGTGGCAATACTTTCGCTTACCTACTTCCCAAGGCTGTTGTGAAGAAATACGCTTTCTATGCAGCTGAAAATGCTACAGATATGAGAGTTGATGGCTTTTAAAAATCATCTAGAGCTTGACTGCTGCCCTTTGAAGAATGTTTTCTTGTTGAGAAATTAAAAAGTAATTGGCACATTTGCCTCACTAGTTCCCAAACTTTCCTGTTTGCTGAATTAGTGAACAGTTTCAATGTACTTGGTCAAACCCGGCTTGTTCATGCCATACAGTTCAGGGCCATTTTCCTAATCTACTGAAGTTTCTTTTATTACCCCATTGATTGGTCTAGATCAGGAGTTTGTAGCTGTTTTTGTATCATGGAACCCCTTGGCAATCTGGTGAAACCTATGAACCACTTATCAGAATAATGTTTTAAAATGCATAGAATAAGCTGCATAGGATTGCAAATCAATTATATCAAAATACAGTTAATATATTTTTAAGTCGATAGACCTCAAGTTAAGAACCCTTCATATATAGTCACCAAGAAATGACTTATGTAGAGAAACATGTCCTTATCTAAACCTTGGGGTAGAGCCTTTTGCTTTAAAATAAACTGTCTCTGTGCTCTGGCTTCTACAGACAGCTCAGCGTGTGACTACGTCAACCATTTTCAAGAGCTGAGTCCTTTACTTGCCATCCTAAGAGCACTTTTAGCTGTCACCTTGTCTAAAGAGTAGTCCAAGTGAATCCAATTTTTGTAACTTTTCTTTAGGCCTTCACAGAGGCAACATTGTTACTAGCCTGATAAAGCCTGTTCTTCCTAAAAAGTGCATTATATTTAGGAATGGCCCCATCAGCTCTGTTGATAGCAAAAAAATCAGTATGTGCAATGAAAATAAGCATTTGGTAATGAATGATACTGGGAAACTGATTTGTACTCTGTATGTTTCTAATTCCCGGTGATAATAATGCCAACCACCTCTACAGAGTGACTGGGAGGGATAACTAAAAAAATTGTAAAACACTGTGAAAATGTAAAAGTGCTAACACAATAATAAGCTGGTAAGCACAATGATTGTTTTCAACCTTTTTTTTTTTTTTGCATGGTACATTTCTGAAGAAAGTTAGGAAGCATGCAAATGAAACTGACCATCTTATTGCATCAGCATCCTCTCATCTGCTTCCTGCTTTACATACATATAAATGCCAAGGCTTTACTTCTACCATGAGCTCTGCTTGCACATATACCAATGAAATGCTCCATGTGTATAAATGCATCTGTATTATTAGAAAGCTGCTCTTGAGAGGAACAGGTTCAGTAATATCTAATCCATTGATGTGTATTGAATTACTCTTCAGGAGACACTTAATTTGTGGGTAGTAACTTAACAATTAAATCATTCTAGGTTAAACAGCTTATATGTCCTGGCACGGATAGTGTGGACAACGGGAGAGAAGGCCCTGGAATGCTAAATGCTAGTGACCACGAAGGTCTTACAGATACAGAACAGCATGCAGGTACAGCTGAACCCTATATGGTTCTTTTAGATTTTTGTCTGATTTCTTTTATTTTTGCTCCTTTCATTAATACATCAGTCATTTCTAAATGTGCTCCTCTGTCCCAAGAAGCCTTTCCTTTAACAAAGGCTTGAAAAAAAAAAATCAAGCCGAAGCAGCACCTCTGTCAGTGTCTGCAATACCTCTCGTTAGGTCATAATTCCCCCGTTTTCAGTGAAGGGTGGGATGTGAATGTTCCTCACTCTTTTCTGGGGTCAGGCTTGGTCGTTATCATTACACAGTGCTCCATTCTGTTTTATTCTTTCTGTTTACATTGTTGCAGCCATTATGTTATCCTGGTTCTACTTATTTCACTCTATCAGTTTCTTTAAGCTTACTTTTTTCTCAGTTCTTCATATTCATCCCTTTTTATGGTGCAGTAATATAGTATTACACTCTTGTACCACAGTTTGTTTACCATTCAGTCAGCAGGCATCACTTAAGCACTTACTATGTGCCCAGCACTGTGCTAAGCTCTGGAGGGAAAACCAGTAAAAAACAGTTCTTGTTCCCAAGGAACTTATGTTTAGGCATTATTCCCTAACCAATGGGCACTTGCTTTGTTTCCAGTTCTGTGTTGTGTGTGTGTGTGTGTGTGTGTGTGTGTGGCAGTCAGGGTTAAGTGACTTGCCCAGGGTCACCTAGCTAGTAAGTGTCAATTGTCTGAAGCTAGATTTGAACTCAGGTCTTCCTGATTCCAGGGCTGGTGCCACCTAGCTGCCCCTTTCCAGTTTTTTTTTTCAACACAAAGTGTGTTGTGATTAATATTTGGATATGTATGGGGCCTTTCTTTTTGCCATTGAGCTCTCTGGAGCATATGCCTAGCGGTAAACTGTATCAAAAAGTGTGGACATTTTAGTCATTACTTTTAAATAATCCCAAATTGCTTTCCAGAATGGTTATGATAATTTGAATGTATTAGTATGTTTGTCTTTCTAGAACCCCTTCTCCATTGACTGTCTCCATCTTTTGTAGTCTTTGAATGTCGGTCCCTTTGCCAGTTACTGATTATGATATCTAAGTAATTGCCAGTACTAGACAGAACATTAAGTGAAAGACTTTCTGACTATAATTCTCTAATTAACTTGAAACCTGCTCTTCTTCCTTGTGTTTTTATTTTTGTCAATAGCACTAGCATACTCAGAATGTTGGAAACATCTTTTTTTTCCTTCTCTTTCTCTTACCTCCCATATCCAGTTGGCCACCAAGTCCTGTAGGTTCAATCTGCGTGATATTTATCTGTAAAGAAGTACTTAACTTAAGATTCAAAGATAGATTTCAAGGGGCCTGTAAACTTGAATAGGGGGAAAAAATTACATCTTTATTTTTAATATAATTGGTTTCTTTGTAATCCTATGCATTTTATTTATGCATTTAAAAACATTTCTGAGGGGGGTTCATAGACTTCACTAATTTATCAAAAAGATGACACAGAAGAGATTGAGAAGGCCCTGCTCTAGCATCTCTAAGAGAACTATCTATTACTGACCTTTTTTTCCATCAGTGTCTAGCCCAGGGCATTGCACGTAGTAGCAATGAACGAATTCCCATCACTTACTACTATAAGAAAAGCCCATGTATTATGATGCTTTGACTATTAGAGTAAACTCCTAACTAGTCTCCTTACCTCTGATCTTTGTGTCTCCAGTTCATTCTTCATATAAATTAAGACTGAAAGGAACGCTGAGTTCAAAACCCAGCTCTGCTCTGTGACCTTGGACAAGTTCCTTCCCTCCTCGACCTGCTTAATTTTCCCAATGTACATTTACAATCAAATGACTTCACTGCTTAAAAGCCTTTATTTAGTGAAGGTTTATGGATTCAAGTCCACATTCCTCGTCTTGGCATTAAACACTCTGTGTATGTGTGTGTGAGTGTGTGTTTTGGTTAGAATTTATCTTTACAGTCTTATACTATTCTTCAGGTAGTCTAGTCAAACTATACTACTTTGTCCCTGCTTTCCTGCCTATGAGCCTTTACTCTTGTCAATTCTCTTAAACTCAAAATGCTTTCTTTCTCTCCAGTTTCCAATAGAACAAATACTATATCTCTTTCATGGAATAACTCAAATGCCATCTTCGCAGTCAAAAATAAATTTTCTTCTCTTGGGATATCTCACAGAATTTTGTCCCTCCTTGTTGCATTTATTTTCTGTTTCATTTTTTAGTTATTTTTATAGAGGTCATATCTTATGCAAAAGGCCAAAAAAAGCTTTCCCAAAACCATCGTGAATTGAAATGCCGACCTTGATTGGGGCAAAACCCTACTTTGTGATAAGTTTGGTTTTTCCAGTTCTAATTTTGTGAGGGATAATAGTGTAACCCCTTTGGAAGGAAAGGGCAAATGAAATCCCTCCATCAGATAAGCAGAAGGGAAGTCATCCAAATTTCCACCTCTCCCTTTTAGGACTGTAGCTCCGTGTGGATTATGTCACTGAGGATCTGATGGGTGGGGCAGAGAAACAGGCTCAGGGCCATAACCATAAAAGTACCATCATCTTGGTTGGATGTAGATTTTGTTTGCATTCCTCTTGATGAATTTTGCTGGCTTACCTGTCACTTCAGGTGTGTTTGACAGTTGGGAGCTCATTCAAGCCCAAGATCTTCGCAATAAACTTAGAACAAAACAAAACTTGAAGCAGTGGCAGCAGCTGGACTCGGATATCAATGATGTCACCCTCTGGCTGAAAGGAACAGAAGCTGAGCTGGAAGAGCTAGAGGTGGTGAAGCCTGCGGCTGACATCCAGGAAATGGAGCTCAGAGTCAAGAAATTAAAAGTATGTCAGCCGGTTTGGAGGGTCGAGTAGTCAGAACGTGTGGGTGAATCCAATGCTAGGCTTCTGTTGTATGAACACATACAACGTATGATTTCTTTGACTACTCCTCTCCATCACATCATAGTAATAGTAATAGCTTGTGTTTCCATCCACAACAGCTTTGTGAGATAGCACAAATTTTATTCCCATTTTACAGATGAGCAAGAATCTTAAGTGGGATTTGAACCCAGGCTAATTCTGGCACTCATTCTGCTATACCATGCTGCATTAATAATTTCATTAATACTTTATATGTGCTTGATACCATGTGTAGGCATTTTCAACTTAATAGTTTAACACTTAGAGTTAAAAAGATAAGTTTTATTTTTTTTAGAAGCTGTTGTGAGGCTGGCTCTCTAATATTCGATTGTCCAATCTCAGATTTAGATTCTCATTTGAAAGGTGAAGTTACTAATGTCCATGGAGGACACACAGAGCTGGATTCAAATCCAGGATTCCTTCAAGCCCTGAATGATGTGACCTAATTTTCCCTAACTTAGATCAATGTGAGCTTATGGGTGAGGAGTGAAGTTCCCTATTTACATGAGGTGATGGTATTTCATAGGTCTAGTAAAAAAAAAAAAGTCTTTTAAGATGAGGTTAAATATGGAGTCCCCTATTTATATTAGGTGCTGATATCTCATAGGTGTAATAAAAAATATCTTTTACATATGGTTTAATAATGTAGTAACCTATTTACATGAGGTAAGGTGATCCTATCTCATAAGTCTAGTAAAAAATGGCTCTTTATATAGTTAAGTAGTGGCGTTCCCTATTTACATGAGGCGAGTTGGTGATATTTCATCAGTATAGTAAAAATGTAATATATCATATTTCATAGGTCTAATAATGTCACATATAGTGAAATAGTGGAGTTCCCTGTTTACATGAAGGGAGGGGCTGATATCTCAGGTCTTAACAAAAAACGTCTTTGGTTAGGTAGTGGAGCTCCCCATTTATGAGGCGATAATATTTCATAGGCTTAGTAAAAATGACATACACAGAGAGAGACATTTTATGTCTGGTCAGAAAAGTTTCTTAAGGGCATCTAAGGTGGAAGCAGAGCTGGAGGTCAGCCTGATCTATTATTACTAACTCCCCCTAAGGCCTCCAGAGAGGCTGATTTGCATGTAAGCTCTCACTGGCTGGAGATCCCTGCCCATTTTAGTGACCTCTCCAAGCTTGCTCCTCACCTGACTTGTTTTCAGCCAGTCCTGAGGGGAGGTGGAGGTGCCCATATCTGTCTACGTGGGGGTGGGGGACTTGGTAGATCTCTTTTCTGATAACTTTCAAAGAGAGCACCAGCACCATTCTTCCCCAGGAGGGCCTTAAACTGTTTTTTTTTTCTTTACTCCTTCTCACCTTTCCACTGTTAGGATATACTAAAAGCCTTTGATAACTACAAGGCATTAGTGATCTCCATCAACTTGAGCAGCAAGAAATCCCAGCAGCCAGATAATACTGAATCTAAGGAACTCCAGAACAGACTCCGGCAGCTGAATTTGCTCTGGGAAAAGGCAAATCATTTGTTGGACAGCTGGAGAGAGAGCTTGCAGCATTCCCTCATGCAATGCCAGGTACACTGACCAGCTGAGAGGTCCCCAGTACATCTTGTGTTGTGGTTATAGTTTCTCACACAAGTGCATGGCTTACAAGGAGGCTGTTAATGACCAGCTTTTTGTAGCATTTCAGCACTTGAGGTGCTTGAAGTAATCAGTGGGCTTTGGAACCATGATGTGCTACAGGAATCCCTGAGGAAGGCATGCAGATTCTAAAGGAACTGGTGCTCACCTCCATCCGTCCTTCACCCAGCCCAAGTGAGGGCTCAGTGCCCTCATGCTCTCCAGCACGGTAATCCCACCCACCATGGTGCTTGTCCTTGGTGTACAAAGAACTCCACTGAAGAACCCTGGATTCAGAGGCTGGAGACTTGCAGTCATCTCTCAGCCTTACTGCTTACTAGCTGCCCAGCCAAAGTCCCTTGAAGCCTTTGAGCTTCTTTTCTCAGTTGTCATATGAGTAGGCTGGGCTAAATAACCTCTTAGGCTTCGTAACCGTTGCCAGTCAATCTGCTTCCACAGCCACTTTGAACAGAATTGTTTTTAAACCCACAAGACCAATATTTTTACTAGGTGGGTGCTTCATTATTTAATTCTATTGGAGAATTCAAGTCACTGTCACACTGTAGCTGGAAATTTTCAGTACTTGGTTATTTAGTCCTATTGGAGAATTCAAAGGTCACTGTCACATACCTTAGTTGGAAATATTCTGCTAAGTTGAGAGCACTATTATTCTTAGGGCCAAGCCTCTTCACCTCCTTGCTTCTCTTCTCTTCACCTCCACCCCCTTTGCTTTTCTTGCTTTCTGCACTGGGCCATTTGGTTTAAATTCATCTTTTTTTTTTTTAATTGCAAAAGACAATGAAAAAATTGGTAAAGTATCTCACTCTTCTTGTGGAAAAGATGAAGAGATATCACCCAAGACAGTAACACAATTAAGTGGATTTGGAACTGGTAGAATGATCAAACTGAGTTGTTAAAGGTTCAGTGCCAACTTTGCAGGAGATCTTCGGTAGAGAACCTCAGATGTGTGCTTGGGCCTTATCCTGCTTAATTTTTTTTTATTAATGCCTGGAATAAAAGAATAAATGGCATTGCTAATCAAATTTGCAGACAACGGGTCACTGGGAGGGGTAGCTAATACTCTGAAGGACAGAAGCCAAGATTCCCAAAGAAGTCCTTAGGCCAGAGTGTTAGCCAGATCTAAGACAATGAAATTCAGTATGGGTGGAGAGATGGTTTCAAGCATTTGAAAGACTTATTTATCCTGAGGAAGACGCATTAGACTTGTTCTTTTTGACCCCAGAGGTAGAAGTTGCAAAGAAACAAATTTATGCTTGATGCCATAAGGCAAAGCCTCCTAAAAGCAAACAGTGAAATGGTCTGCCTATGCAGGCGCAGTCTTCATGGAAAGTGTTCAAGACAAAAAGCTGGAATGACCATTTGTGGGGATCAGTTTTTGGTGTGGTATGGACTGGCTGCTGAGAGTCCTGCTTTAAAGTTCTGTGGAGAATAGGTGGTGCAGTGGACACAGCACTAGCCCTGAACTCAGGAGGACCTGAGTTCAAATCCAGCCTCAGACCAAATGCTTGACACTTACTAGCTGTGTGACCCTGGGCAAGTCACTTAACCCCAATTGCCTAAAAAAAAAATTCTGTGAGAATGACTGATAAAAATATATGTATATAAATATAACTTCACACAAGATTTTAATTTATATATAGCAGCAATATTGCCTTACATTCATATACCACAATTTGTTTAGCCCTTCATTCCCCCTTTGGATAGTATATACCTGCTTTGTTTTCAGTTGCAGTGGAAAGAGATTTATTTGCCTGTTTTGTTTGTTTTTACCCCCCAGGACTTTCATCAGTTGAGTCAGTCCCTCCTGTTGTGGCTGGCAAGTGCAGAAAATCGGAGATGTAAGGCCCAAGTTGTGGATCCAAATGCAGATCCCCATACCATCCTGGAATGCCAGAAAGAGCTGATGGTACATTTTCTTTCTTTCTCTTTCTTTCTTAGAAACTTAACAGTGAAATATCAACTCAACTGAATTTGCATGGTAAAACTATTTCCATTTTTTTTCAGTATTTAATTTTAAAATATAAACTATACTAAGGCTTTTATTTTTTGCCCCTGCTTCTCTAAATCCCAATCAGGATTCTTTGTCCGTTTTTCCACATCTGCCTGACCCTTTTTCCTGGGTCTGCTCTTTTTCTCACTCACTTGACATTATTTCTTAAAGGTCTTTTCAGATTCTTTGTGTTGCTATTGGCCCTCGTTGCTTCACAGTGTTCTGTGACACAAAGGTACCTCCATCGAACCATTCCCTTCTCATGGGATCTTTAGAATCTGGTGGAAAAGTTGTTGTTCGTCCTTCATTTTCTAAGACCCTAAAAAGATGCTTTTTCTTTACCAGGGTCTGGCTGTTAGCCTGTTTCTGGGCAGTCTGCCAAAAAACATGCCAATAAAACAAGTTACTCATGTTTGCTTACTGTTGCCTCGCAGAAAAATTCTAGGCTGCTTTCCAAGCTCGCCTAGCAAGCTTTGGGTTGCCCTGAGAGCATCGCTTTATGATACAGTACTCTATTTTCTCAACTGTACTACCTTGCCCTTTATTCCTAAGACAGATGGATAGGATATAATAAGACTACCTAGGCTAGATGAATGTCCCTGCTTCCGACCACCCAGATGCTTAGGAAAGGAGGAAAAATAGATGCACATTTCATAGATTTTCCTGCCTAGCACTCGAAGCATTTGCAGCACTTTAATCCTGTGGTTGGCGTTGCAATTCATCCAATTTTCAGAAAATATAAGGCACCACAATGTCAGCCAGACAATTTTAATAAAAAATAGCATTTTGGTTTGTGTATCTTTCAGATATTTTTTAATTTGGGGGCAAATTTGAGATTGGTGTCATTGTAGCTCAGTAGCTTGAGATCAGGATTGGATGGCTCAGTGCCTGCAGATACTGTACAGTTTTCCCTCAGGCTCTCCAGCAAAACAGCCTTCACTTTTAATTTGAATCATCACCTCTGTTGAAAAGCTGGTTACCAAATTGTCTTGGCCTCTGAATAATTCACTAACAAAAGGCTGAGATGAAGTCTTTCATTTATACTTTTCAGTTGCAATCATGAAGGCCCACAGTGACATTTTTTAAACTTTGATATATTTTTTTTTTGAGATGGCTTACTATTTTTGAATCTTCTCCATGAAACCAAGCAATTCTTCTTGCAGTCAAACCAGACTTATGGAGTGTCCTCTATCTTTCTTGAATGTATTACATTCATACATGCAAGGTCATTTATGCACAATGTCCTGTTTCAGAATCTCCATTTAATGTCTTTGAGCCCCTTAGAGTAGAACCTACCAAAAATAAAGTGGCTCCTGCCTTTGAGAAAATGAGATTCTAAAGCAGCTAGAAAGTCAGAAAAATTACCTGCCAACAAATCTGCTCAAGAGAAAGTGGTTTTATCTTTAGGAAATTCAGACAATCAGTATTTATATTATGCACAAGAATATACATGTGTATGTACCCACAAACCAAAGTTAGTATACTAATTCAGTTCAAACATTTATGAAGCTCCTACTAATATGCAAGACACTAGAATATCAATTTAAATTTGAAATAAATTGGAGTATCTTTTTTTGGATAGTACTATTTTAGAAAATAATATGGTTCTGACATTTTTATATGCAGAAATGGCAGCCTCTATCTGTCCCTTCCTCCCTGTACCTCTCAATCAGATAAGCCATTCTCCCTTACATCTTTCAGTTTTTGTTTATTTTTAGCAACTGGAAAAGGAGCTGTTGGAGCACCAGCTTCAAGTAAGCTCTCTCCAGGAGATCTCAAAGTACCTACTTGCTAAGGGAGATGGAGAAGATTATATTGAAGCTGATGAAAAGGTTCATGTCATTGGGAAGAAATTCAACCAGCTATTGGACCAAGTTTCTCAAGATTTAGAATCTTTGCAAGGAAGCCAGGTAAGCCAACTTATTCTATAGAGAAAGATTCAATATAATATTTCAAGATTTGGGGGAAAAAAAGTCTTGGCTTATTATGTACAAAATGGACCCTGGGTATACAACCCAATATCATCAGTCTGTAGGAGGAAAACAGAAAGGGAAACAAGAGTTAACAGCAGTCTTCCTGAGACAGGGAACGGAGCTGATCATAGGGAGACAGAGTAAGAGAAATGCACTTCTTCTGTCCCCAGAGCACTTGAGGGTTTATCAATACTTTCTTCACAACAACACTGGGAGGGAAGGAAGGAGGGAGGTAATATAAGGAAGGGTTGGTCTCCTTTTATCAAGGACTAAACTGAAACTCCGAAAGTTAAATGACTGGACTATGGTCCTACAACTAGTAAGTTCCAGAGGCAGAATTTGATCCTAAGGCTCCTTCCTACTTTGCCATCTCAAGCACCTGTCACTATAGCATAGTGGTTGCTCCCTCTTATGGTAGGGCAAGGGAATGGAAATCTGTTGATAGTCAGAGAACAAGCTAAATGGCCTGGTCACGCGGGCTGCTTGGCCAAGGGACTGGAATGAAAGGATACAAAAGTGAGGCTACTGCTCCCAGGGGGAAAAAAATGGGGAGCTCTTTCTTTTGGGGGCTTTTCAGATTCACTTTCAGGATAGCTTCTGTGTCTGTACCTGTAACAATGGGTGCACTATGGCTGCTACTCTCTGTATTCACAGCAGTCAAATATAAGAGCTAACGTTTATATAGCCCTTTAAGGTTTGCAAAGTACTTTACCTGTTATCTTATGGCCCTCACAACAACCCTATGAAATAAGTACCATTGTTATACTTTTTTATAAATAGGGAAACTGAGACAGGATTTCATCTTGCTTGTTTCCAAATTTAGCTCTCAACTTACTGTGCCACCTAGCCGTCTCATGCATACCTGTCTTGGCACTAATAGTGCTTTTATAAAAGAGGAAGGAGGGTTCAGGGAGAATGGCAGCAGGGGCTTAGGAATAAACTACTAAAGGGAAAAATGATACTCTGTAGAAATATTCTAAAGTATTTACCTCAAAGGACACTGGCAATTGCCCAGAATAAATATGAATATGTGTGTGTGTGTGTGTGTGTGTATTTATAAATATAGATATGTAGATTTAAAAGCGTTTGGGTTGGGGCAGCTAGGTGGCACAGTAGATAGAGCTCCAGCCTTGGAGTCAGAAGGACCTCAGTTCAAATCTGACCTCAGACACTTGACACTTACTAGCTGTGTAACCCTAGGCAAGTCACTTAACCCAAATTGTCTCACTTAAAAAAAAAAAAAAGAATTTGGGGCTGAATTTCTATTCCTAAAGATCCAGACCTGGGCTGAGACAATTTTTTTAGGGATATGTGTGTGTGTGTGTGTGTGTGTGTGTGTGTGTGTGTGTGTGTGTATGTATGTATTTCATATGTGTGTGTATATGTATGTGTATATATATATTTGCCCTAAAAAAAAAATTTGCCTTAGCCCAGGTCTGTATCTCAAGGAATAGAAATTCAGCCCCAAATTCTTTTAATTTTAACCATGAGACTTAATAGTATAGAAACCACCAATTGTGCACACATAGAAAATGGATGTAAATATACATGCAGTAATAGGCTTTACTCCCCCAGCTCTATGACAGTTTTATGAAAAGAAACTGAGAAAATTGGCACATAAGGAGAAAGTAGAGGTGGGTTTGTGTCCTCACCAATGGAGAAGGGTGTGCACCACTGAAGCTGATTCAGTCCACGTTCTTTATGACCAGGGAGGAGGAAGATTGCAAGCTTTTGTGCCCTGAGAATGCTGCAGGCATTTGCATCCTAGCACTTGTGCTGGACTCACACTTGTGTTGAGTTATACTTGGTGGATGTTTGCTTGAAGTTCTTCCCACTTAAGTTTCGTTTATGGATTTCAGGATGAGGATACAACATTGACAGCTTTTGACAATGTAGACAGTAGTGGCCATCATCTGTCATCGAAGTCCGTGCCTGCTGAACAAGAAAAGGTAAAAAAAAAAAAAGCAACAACAGCAACCACTTTTTCTTTGGTAATGGAATTTGCATAATTAGAACATGTTACCCTGATGACAGAACCATAGGACTCACTCACTGAGACATCTGCACAAGTTCCATGAAACGCATACTATTGCAACTCATTCCATTCTTAGATCTAATTGCCAAGAAGTTGTTTACGTGAAACCTAACCCGAATTCTCAGTTCTGCCCTTTGGGGTCAAGCAGAATAGGCATAACCCTCTCCACAAGCAGACCCTTCAGATAGCAGTGCACCTATTCCCTTGGTCCAAGTCATAAAATCCAAGATTTAGAGCCAGAACGGGCCTTAGAGACCATCATATCAGCTATTTTGTTTTGAGCAGTCAAATTTTTAGGCCGCTTGATTAGCACTCATTTGGTATGTGCTACTGAGGAAAGTCAGATTATACACATTCCAGTCAAATTAGCAGGTTTTCTAATCAATCCCTGACCTTCCCTATAATTTGTTTTTGAAGCACACTGAAAAGGCTTACCCAGAAAAAAAAAATTCTAAGTCCTTCAAAAACTAATTGATGTGCCCAAGAGCAGTATTGAATGTATTTCCAGATGGAATTTTATCCAAAAATGAAAAGCGAAAGAGCTTTCAATATTTCCTAATTTTAAAAGCATATTTTGTTGATGCCTATCGTCTTTACACCACAGCCATTTCTAGGGTGAAAGAAATCCTTTCTTCTCCTCCCACCAGATTGAACTCCTCTCCCTCTTATAATATATTGAGGGAGAGAAAAATAATCACATAGATTTGCCTCCATTTCAAATCGCACGGCAGTAATGACAAACTCCACTTCTTCAACTTCGCCAGTCTGTACTTTGACTGAAGCATCTTCTTCAACTTACTAATTGGATCCTTTTTATCCCGACAGGTTGGAGCAGTGGGAATTACAGAAGAAAAGAGCAAGACAAACAGCAGGTAAAGTGATCTCATTCGGATGATTACCATGGGAAATCCACATTCTGTGTCTCATTTTTTTCCTCTACGCACCAGTAACTGTCAGTGCAAAGATTGATGCTTCTGTATGATTTTTGACACTTTCTCCACTTTAGCATTCTATTCTCTCAATGTTTATAATTCCTTGTAAACTAAGACTGTATTTCTATCCTTGGCATTTTATTCTCTTTGGATGGAATTCTATGATTCCAGTCTCATTAAAATGTAAAAGCAGGAAGTCACATGGCTGAGATTAACATGGATCAGTACCTTAAAAAAAAAACTTTTAGAAGTCAACATTTGGGGAGCAAGAGGGATAAAGAAGTCTCACTGGGTGTTCTGCTCTTTGAGCCTCATTACTAACCACTCATTATCTTTTATTTACAGAGTGGAACATCTCTCTGACCCTGCCTCAACTCTGACCAGCTCTGGGCCCCGATCTTTCCTGTACCGGGTGTTTAGAGCAGCTCTGCCCCTCCAATTGTTTTTCCTCCTCTTATTGCTTCTGGCTTGCATGATCCCCTCTTCAGAGGAAGATTACAGTTGCACCCAAGCCAACAATTTTGCTCGATCATTCTATCCTATGCTGAGGTACACCAATGGGCCCCCACCGACCTAAAGTGGGTGCATGCTAGGGTGCATCCTAAAACAACACATTCAGCGTGGGTGCTCAAGCCTTGGGGGCCATAGTGCTTGCAATTCCAATGTAAGTAGCTTTTTCATTAGGCACCATCAGCTGATGTTCGTGTGCCACGAATTGGAGTCTGCCTCTCTGGGGAATGCTGGAGCCACTGTGGCTGGGATGGAAGGATGTGTGTGGTTCATGGCAAGTGACACACAGTCCAAGGGTGTTAGGTTACATGACATTCTTCCACTGGGGTGAGGACCTGCTCAGACCTCAGAGCACCAGTTGCTCTGTGAGTGACCTTAGTTGCTTTGGCAAAACTCAATGGTTTCTGTTCACGTTTAGCCTTCTAAAACTGTGTGCAGAAGAGCCTAGCATTTTTGTGGATGCTGACTTTTTTATTTCCAAAACTCCTAAGATGAGTTTACAGAAGGGACAATAGTTATCCCACGTAGCCAACAGTTATTGAATAGTAGTATTCACTACAGTATGTACAGTAAAAGTAAATAGCTTAGGGAATAAAATGTCCCTTAATGGTTCAAAACCTCTCATGCACACTTTGTGATAAAACTGATAGACACAATCACATCTGAAATGTTTAGCACAAAATTGCTGGAGAACCAGAATATGATGAAATTTGATACTAGTCAGTTCTAAATGTAAAGTGTCTTGTATTTGTCTGCTGGGTCTGCCTTTTTTATATGTAGTTGGAAAAGTGGTTTTTTTTTAAAAATTATTCTATTGCATGGATGTGGTTTCATATTGTGCATATTTTTGAAATTATTTCTCTAAATTACCGTATGAATACAAATTAATAATGTAAACTTCGATTTTTTAAAATCTGGGCTTTTAGCTTGAGCTTTTGACTAATGTACAGTGAATGCCAAAAGACCGACAGATATGTTTTTTATAAGTTAACTTTGTAAGATTTTTCACACTTTATAAAGTGATGCTGCAGGGTCTCTCTCTCTCTCTCTCTCTCTCTCTTTTTTGTTAAATTGTATAGTCAAGTGGGTTGGTACAGAAACATGAAGCTAGTTGTGACATGTACTCTTCCAGTGTGGTGGTGTTTTTCTCATTAAAAAGAAATCTGCCCTCTTTGCAACACTGAATTTTGTAACCTTAAGCTTCTGATGTGTGACTGAGTCCTCTGTGGAGTGAAAACTCAGTCTGTTCTAAGTGCTGAACAGCCTATGGGCTGGATTACAATGGCTGTCTTTCAGTGCTCCGATGGAACTGAGTTGTTGCTGGTACCTATTATGAGCCATCCACCCCTCTCTCATCCTGTGCTATTCTTGTCCATGTCTTTCTAGTGCACTGGAGTCACTAAACCACATAGAAATGACGGTAAATACAAATCTGCACATGTAAAGTACCAACAGTGTCTAAAAATCACGATTCTTTAGTACTATCTACTCCCTTTTCTGCATTCTATCATCCTTACTACCAGCGTGGGAAGGGCCTACATAAGACTGAGATCCATTTTGTACTTTTTTTTTTATGTCCTAGCTAACAAAGCAGGTTCTTCTGCTCTCCACACTTAAGCTAGGTGGTCCTTAGGTGATCCTCAGATAGCAGGCGGTCACAAGGTCTGAGGTATCAGCCTCTCCAACTTGGTAGGCTAACATACCAGAGTTTGTCCTATGTTGATTCAGCCTATTCAAATCCAGCATCATCCCCATGTGGTCAGAAGGTCTCTTTCATCATTCTAAAAATAGCAGAAACACACTCATTCAACTAGTATGTCTTTATTGACCACAGAGTGTTGGCATGGCATGGTACTGTGTTGAGCTTTCGGAGGACTCCTTGGGAAGAGAAGATGTAAACACAAAGTTGTCACTTAAATGCAAAACCTGGGTGACTTGGGCAAATTACTGTCTCTCTGAACCTCAGATTACTCATTGATGAAATACAAGTGACACCTTCATTACCCCTATACCCATAGTCTTTTTGGGAGGAAAGTGTTTCTTTTACATCTAAAAGCACTACAGAAATGTAAGAAGGTATGTGTTTATTTTTGTTAGATGAAGCAGGACCCAAAGTGAGTCCACTTTGAAGGATGGTTAAAGGTTGGTTTAAATGAAGAAAAGAAAAAAAGGATCTTCCTTTCCATAAGTTTTGTCACTGTTACATAGTGATAAAGGAAAATGACAGTAGCGTGGCATAACTCATTAAGAACGGCTGGTATTATACCTATTTATAAGAAACACAGGAGAGTCTCCATTTTTGTCAATGATATTTTACTATCTTCATCCCTTTGGGCACCTTGTAGAATTCAAGTAATTTCATGTTAAATCGGTCAACTATTTTTCCCAACACTTATCTATCACTTAAAGGCTTATCTGGCTGACACTTTAGTTGAAGAAACCAGAGGTGAGCTGGAAGCCAATTCAAACCCAGCAAGGCAATTGATAATTTTTCAGTGTGGTCATTTACTCCTTGGAAATTGGCAAATGCTACCCAGCAAGATGATTTAAATATAGTGTTCTATTGATTATCTAGATTACATTTTCTCTATCACTTTCTTAATAGGGGAAAGGGCATTTACGCAGTGTGTACTATGTGCCAGGTATTGTGCTAATTTCAATAATGCAGATTAGACTTAGGTATGTTATGCATATTTTCCCCCTCAGGCAGCTTGTGCTCAAACATTTACCAGAACATGATTAACTGATACAGTACTTACAAAGAAGAATTAACTCTATAATAGTTACAGAAGTAATTTCAGGGCTATTTCCTAAGGCCTTTTCACAGGTCAAGGATTCAAGAGAACAAATACCTATCAAACAATACCTTTTCCTCCCTTCATTTTGGGATACTTAATTTGGGATATTTAATTAGTCATTGGAACCTTAGTTTTTTCACATCTCCAATTTAATGTGTGCCTATAGGAATCACATTCCCCATTTCAAATATCCACATAACTGAATTCAGTTAAGCTGTTAACATTTGAGCATGGCTGCCATTGAGCAGCTTATATAAGGTTGAAGATTTGAAGAGCGTTAAAAGGGCCAAAGGAAATTTCTGTCTGCAATTTACCTTCATCACATACAGTTTTATCAAAATTGCTGAGGTGATGTGATATAATAAAAAATGCTTTTACCAAAAATCTCAATGGGCCCCAAAAATTTCAAGAACTGTCTGAAGGTATATTTTTAGTCTTTAAAATCATCTTTTATTCACTGATGATTACAACAACCTAAGAAACTTAAAAAGTCCAAAACCCAGACTGGTCATTTTTCTCACGTATACCTCCCACACATTTTTTTTTAATGGAGCTATAGAATGATCACAGTGGAAACTTATCTAGTTATCACCTCATCATTATTCTGGAAAACTGGAAGCCTCCATTCTTCTGTATTATGATTGTGTTGACACTTTACCTCTTTATTTAGAAGTTGTTGCATCTTGTGGCCAATGTTAGGGTATCCAAGTTATTTAATGGGAGACTCGCTACTAGGCAAGGGGAAAAAAGATTGAGTAGGAAAATAATGAACCCGTGGGAAAGGTCCCACATATTCGTGATTGTCTTCAAAATCCACTTTAAGACCTTGCAACTGCGGTGTGGGTGGCAGTTCAAAGATTAAAGGTAAAGGAAAATAAAAAGTTTGGTGATTGGCATTATAACACCATTACTAGTCACTTCACATTCCTACTCTACTTACTCAGGATGAAGACCATCACTTTTCAGGTACCTATGAATGGATCATCCTGGTTGGAAGAGGTATCACAGTATCATATTCCAATCCCAGCTTGGTAAAGTCTCTGTCTCTCTGGGCCTCAATTTAATCATCTGTAAAATGATGTGATTAGATAGTTTCTAAGCCAAATCTAAATCTACAAGCTATTTCTATTACAGCTATTCAGGTAGAAAGAGAGTAGAAGGCAAGAACCGAGAGGTGGGATATATGTGTATGACTGAATTCCAAAATCAAATATCATTTATTTGTCCATTTCTCCACCTCTTTTCCCCCTCTTTTAATATGCTGTTTTTAAAGTTCTTACACCATCAATTCCAGTAATGCTGGGTAAACACTGGCACTAGTCGGAAGAAGGAAAGTAGTCCTTCCTCTCATATAATGAATTCCTAAGGACTCTATGCCAATTACTGGAGCTATGTATTGATGGTTATCATAGAGATTTGCATATTCTGAATGTCCTGCAGGCTAAACGTGTAAATAGCAGCATCATTTATTAGTCACCATACCTGCTGTCAGAAGAAGTCAGGGCAAAATAGAAGTGCTCTGAATGTCTGTGTAGTGTACTGAATTTACTTTTTTTTTTTTAAACGAAGTCTCCCTATTATCACCTAATCTAAAAGTGCAGTGACCACTGAAAGGCCTGATTCTTCTGCTGATTAGCAAGGGAGTTTAGAATTTAGACTTGCTTTGTTTCCAACCTGGGACTGTCCATCCCAGATGGAGGCACGCGCTCGAACACACCCACCCACACGCATACCCTTTCCCTTCCCGGGGACTCGCCATATTGGTATCAGATTTAGTATGGACACCCACTTGGCTTTGGCCCTAGGCACAGCTTAGAACTGAAATCAAGCCACCCACCAATCTCATTCTCCACAGAGCATGAACAACAGATGTGTTAACACACCTACCCTGAATTTGCTTACTAGAAAACATCAGCCTAAAAATTCCCAACAATTTTTTCAAAAACGAAACCAAAAAAAAGTATGAAAAACATTTTATTTAACTTATATGATGTCATGCCTCATTTTATAATAGCAACACATTCAAAAGAACATAGCGAGGGAAAAATACTATCCATAGGAACGCAAAGCAGAGAATAATCACTGGCTTTCATACAACAGAAGAATCAAATTCATGTTTAAAGAAAGATCCAGTCTTAAGTTTTAGTGGAGGTAAACACCAATTACTCTTTTTTGGAATGTACAAAACATAAATAAAAACATTCACCTGAAAGGCCTAGATAAGTAAAAACTAGAACAATCAATCAATAAACATTTATTAAGTGTGCACTATATGTGCCAGGCACTGTGCTAAATGCTGACACAGTATAACCACTCATCTTGGACTCAGACACTCACATGTACTATCATAACAGTTTAGAAAACAGCACTTGGAAATTTATCTGTTACTATTCTTACGTGAATGCTAATGAGGACCAACTTTTTGTCATTCGTGCCAATGAACTGTGAAGAGAACAAAATAGCATCATACCACAACATAGCCTCAGAGATGAAGGGAAATATGACACGTGTGACTTGAAGAAGCCTGGATCAGAAGGCACAGAGATTGACATAGGATGAAGCTGAGCTGCAAAAGAATCTGAGATTCCAGTGTTTTTTTAGGGCCACAAAAGGAAAATACAGTATATTACTATACATTGTATGCTAGTGCTATACCCATCTCCATAATGGGGGAATGGCAAAATAAACATGGACCTCCTAAAAATTTTCACAAATTTTAATCAGGCAACCTGCCAATGTTTAGTCACCTATAGTTTGAACCCACTTCTCACACACATTACTCTGTCCCCAGTCTTCATGCATTTGCACTCCCTAGAATGCTCTCCTTCCTCACATCTACCTCACAGAAGCCCTTTCTTCAATATATCACTCAGGCACCCATCTTCTTCAAGAAGCATTTCCTAATTCCCCTAATGGCTCCATGCCCTTTCACCAAACTACCCTGTTTTCATCATATGTTCAGTTTTTTTACTAACTTTTTTGCTGTGTGTACTTATCTCCCCCATAATTACAATGTTGGCTCACTGTGAGAAACACTGAGTGAGCTCATTGTCTCATTCTTTATACTTGTACCGCCTGTGCCTAGCAAGTGCATGAAACTTGGTAGGTATTTAATACATTCTTGTTCATTAATATCACCAAACAAAGAGAAGAAGGGGGAGGGACATACCTTATTCCCCTCAGGATATGAATGAAGGCAAGCACCATTTTTCTTTCCTACCTCATCATTACTTCCATTTAAGGGCACACACCCCTTTCCTGGTAACAGAGATAACAGTATTTCTGAGAGGCAAGTGGAGGTGGAAGATGCAATTGGCCAAGTATTTTTCTATGTAATTCAAATGCAGCTAACATAACAGAATCTCAGGAACCAGTGTCAATGTCCTG